TCAACAAAACTTAACTTTGTTACCCCAAAAGTTTAAATTTGATACCCCAAACTAATGAAATTTTACGAAATTAAGTTTAAGTGAGAGATACTTTTTGGGAAAAGAAAAAATTTGGTGTTTCAAAGTTCAAGTTTGTAGAACTTTGGGGTATTTTTTGTGGGCTAAACAGAACTTTGGAGTATCAAAGAAAAAAGAAAGAGGTAAACTTCGGGGTATTTAAGTGCAAATAACCCAAAAAAGAGAAAATATCCGTTTTGGTTTATTGCACGAGATAAGTACTGTTGTGTGGAGAAAGGCAATACTGTTCATGTGTGTTGTCATTCGTCATTGCTATTAGTTGAACCTCCAACAATTTGTCTGCAAATCCAAAAACAACAAATTCCCAAAACGCAAGGGAGTGATTGTTTAGTATTAGTAAGGAGTTGCAATCGTAGCAACTTCATATAGTTCTAGCTGTAGTTGGAGCTGCGTGCAGTTATTTCTTTTTTGGGTTAATTGCGGATAGACCCCGGTACTATAGCCCAATTGCAGAAGACCACCTGAGTGATTTTTTTTTATCACACATTGTCTACCTGCATATGAGCAAATAATTCAGGCGGACTCTCCATATTTTGTTTTTTTTTTTTTTTTTTTTTTTTTGGGGGGGGCGTGGGGGGTTGGGTGCTCTCTCTTCGCAATCACGCATAATACCCCGATACTACAGGGGGTGTATCTGCAAATACCCCTATTTTTATGCAGTTGTAAAATCAAATCATGTTGACCTAATCTAGTTCATGTTTCTACAATGCAGGAAGACACAGCTTCAATGAGGAAGGAAATACACGAGCTCAAAAGCAACGCAAAGATATTCCAGCTGAGCAAGTGCACGGCGTGCACTTTCACTCTCGATCTTCCTGCAGTGCATTTCATGTGCATGCACTCGTTCCACCTCCGATGCCTTGGTGACAACGAGAAAGAATGTCCTGAATGTGCACCTGAATATAGATTGGTCTTAGAGACCAAAAGAAACCTTGAAGTTAATGCAAAAGAGCAGGATCAGTTTTTTAAGCAAGTGAAGAGTTCTAAAGATGGGTTTTCTGTGATTGCTGACTACTTTGGTAAGGGAATTGTGAGTAAGACTAGTATTGTCCCTGAAGAGAGCTTACAAACAGGAAGCAGCTGAGAGATTGTATGGTTTGCTTGTAGCAATTATTTTTGGGGTGTGTTTGGTTTTGTGAGCGCTTCCTTTGTAATGATTGACAAAATGCTATCTTCAAATTTTATTTTGTAATTTATATTTTGTAATCTCAGTTGCGCTGATAGAGTCCTTTATTTGTTGAATAATGTTAATTATACTACAAATTTTATGCTGTACTATCACCGACAAATGTGAGGTCTTTTTTCAGAAACTATCAAATAAAAAAAATTGTTTGTGGTTGTTAAAAAAAAGATAATAGATTTGCAATATGATCATCCCTCCTTATAGATTTATGAGTTTGTTACTACAGATTTCTCCAGTTCTCTATCATAAGTTCAAAACTCTAAATCTTGGGGAAAATTGCACTTAAATGACCTCATTTAAGTACTCTAGTATCTCTAAAAGTCTCACTTTTAGTACGCCCTATCTTATGTGATATTTTTGGACGTAGAGAGAAATTAATATTATTTGGTTTTTTAGGCATTTGTTAACTGGTGCTCGTTAGCTTTAATATTCAGGGGTTTGGTCTGTTGGGCTCAATTATTTTCCCTGATTTATCTATAAACCCCATAACTTTCTTTTGTATCATTGAACCCATTTAACTTTATGTATTTCTCTCTAAATCCAAATAATATAATTTAAAGTGATAGTATTTTGTATTAAAACATTTTGGAGGTTTACCCCTAAAATACCCCGCCCTCAATATCCACAAAACATCTCCCCCTCCCCCTTGTCTCCTCTTTCAATTTCGAGAATCAGTTCTCTTTCAAGTTCTTTCTCCACAAGATTTTTCGAAGAAAACCCCTTCTTCCTTCGTTCTCTCTCCATTCTCCGCTCTTTCTTGATGCCCTATCGGATCCCTTCTTCTCTCCTCTTTCAATTTCTCTACTGCTAGTCTAATTTGGGTGAAAATATGAGCCCTAACTTGTCCATTGTTTTCTTCACCCGACCACCACCAGTATTGCCGATGTCGAGGTCCTCAACTCCAGCTGCGATGCCGATGGGCGCTCGACCGTCATCATCAACTAGTGTTGCTGAAGGTATATACATCACTCCCTCTAGCTTTACTTTTAAGTTGAAGTTGATTCTATACTGTTACCAGTCTTTTTGTGGTACTATAATCGGTTTTTAGATGAAGATCTCTCGGTATGATCTCTTTGTGAGGATTATTATACAGTTGGGTTGAAAATTAAAGGTTAGACCTTATGTGACTAAATAGGCTTGGATGTTGTGAGAATTAAGTTTGAGGGGTGGAAAGCCAAGGTCTTGAATGGCAAATGAAGGATTGATTTGCTTTGTCATTTGAGGAATGTTGACCTTTTATGTGTTTGCTTTCGATCTTATTGTGTTAGTATGACATTGCTTTATTCATGACTTTATTTGATTGCAAAGTGGACGAAATAATTCACTAGTAGAATGAAGTAGCAAGGATATTTCATAATATTTTTGGATCATCAAGAGTAATCCAAAATCTAGAGATGAAGCTAATAATTGAACTTTAAATTAGTTTATATAAGATTCTTATGCATAAGATTTATATAAGAATATGCATAAGATTCTATGCTTTTAAAACTCTTTTCCTCTTTTCTTTCTCAACTCTAAAAATTTGTCACGCTTTTGTTGAATCGGCTGGACAAGGATGAAGCTAGGTTATTGTAGGCTGTCTAAAAACCACAATAGATAGTTGACCCCTGTCAGACTTCAACCAACAGTCTTGACTAAGAAGGTTACAATCAGACGACTTTCATGTTAACAAAGGAAGGCTACAATTGGAGGATTCTCATGTAGATTAAGAAATGATTACAAGTCAACGATTTTTTCAAACCAAGGTGCGGAACTCATCCCTACATCCTAGAGTTGAACTACAAGTGATTACGCTCCAGAGTCAAAGCAATGCAATTGTTTGCGTCGAAACTTAATGTATTCATTGCGGTATTCATTACAACTTCGGTCGTTACAATGAAAACAAAAAAGATAGTCTTTTTATAAGACTAAGACTCTCTCTCTCTCTCTCTCTCTCTCTCTCTCTCTCTTACTTTAACATGGTATCAGAGCTTGGTTTAGGGTTTCCCAAATAATAAAAATTTTCCAAATAAATAAAATATTCCCTTCTAAGTCGTCGATCTTAGTCGCCGCAGGAGATCTCGGTTGCTACCACTGTCGACGAGTCTGTCGCTGTCACTGTCACAGATCTTAGTGGAGATATTCTCAATCCCACAATCTTCAGCACCGGAGATCTGATTGGTCGCCACGATCTCTGTCCCCAAATTATCACCGCGATTTTTCGACACAATCTTCGCTAATTGAGAGCGATTTAATTAGATATTTTGTTGATGGTTATATATATATATATATATAACCATCGGGTTCTATTTTAAACATTCGGGTTCCATTCTAACCTTCGGGTTTTTTGTTCAAAGATTATTATTTTAAACTTCGGTTTGCTGTTATGGCTCCTTCAGAGAAGATTCATAAACCACCCCTGCCCCTCAATGATCAAAGTGACTGGGAAGGATGGTCCACCATTGTCACCAATGTCTTGCGTTGCGCTGGTCTGCTTGATCATCTCATGAGTACAGGACCAGTTCCACTGTCCATCAGTACTATTGCTTCATCCAATATTGTTACATCTGACAGTGGTGATGTCGATCTTCAAACCGCTCGTGCTCACTATGTCTAGGTGAGTTCGGACTGACAGTTGCAGGAATTTCGTGTCATAGATTATCTCACTCATTGTGTTGGCTCCAGTCTCACTGTCGAAATTGGTTCGCTTTCCTCTGCTCGGGCCATGTGGACTCGCCTCACTGAGCATTTCACTGAGTATTCTGGTGCATGGGAGGCATATCTTCTGCAACGCGTTGCTCTACAATGCAAAGATAGTTCCTCCCTATTAGGTCTCATGTTTACGAGCCTACTATCTAAAAGGGAGAGATTGTTAGGTCTCATGTTTATGAGCTGACTATCTAGGGGTGTCCAAAAAGCCCGGAGCCCGGGCCCGGCCCGGAGCCCGGGCCCGGAGCCCGGGATAGTTCCTCCCTATTAGGTCTCATGTTTACGAGCCTACTATCTAAAAGGGAGAGATTGTTAGGTCTCATGTTTATGAGCTGACTATCTAGGGGTGTCCAAAAAGCCCGGAGCCCGGGCCCGGCCCGGAGCCCGGGCCCGGCCCGGAGCCCGGGCCCGGCCCGGTGCCC